TAAAATATTTATACAAACAAAATTTACGGCTGGGCAACTAAAGAATCAGGGCAATAATTAACAAGCAAAATAGACTAGTTTATTATTCAGTCTGTGAAGTACATGAGACCAGTACATAATAATACAGTTAAAGGAACACTCCAAGAACCATAACCACTACACCACTTTAGTAGTTATGGAACCAAGAGTATCACTGCACCATCCCAAGGCAGTTAAATCATTTTAGTATGGTTTGACAGCTTACCAGGGTCCTGCCAGGTGCCTGCTGTTGCAGCCAAAGCTTAAGGTCTTCTTTACTGCCATGTAGGACTGATCAAAATAACCGAGAGCTTCAGCTGAGTGCTCTCAGCCAATGACCATGGTCCTGCTTTGGCCCCATGTCTTAAACCAGGCTGTATTGTTTATGGAGCGTAGAGTGTTCCTTTAAAAGTGGACATTGATCGCACAGGGCTGAATCTGAATTGTACACAAATTGGATAGTAATTAAAGTACAACAAAAAGTAACTGTGCCTTTAATAGACTTCTAACAAAATGGGACCTGCATTGTGGTGGTTATAATAAAACTAACATCCAAATTTACTTTGTATTTTGTACTGAAATATTTACCCATTTTAGTTACCTTTGATGCATCAAACTATGGCCTCAAATTTAAACTTTTTAATACATTTTCCAAATGATTCAATATTTTTAGATAAACATTTAAAATTATTTTTGCTTACTATTAGGGGGCAACCAAAACCATTTTAGCTCTTTATTAGACCATGGAATTGAATCAATACATTGTGCTAGCAGTTTTGCTAACAAATGTATAGACTGGTAGAAAAACCTATTTAAAAAAAAAATGTCTCCCACCTGACAATGAATTCTTCAGTATACACTCTATGTCAAGGAATTGATTGATAAACGAAAGCTGAAGAAACCACCCAAAAGTGGTACTTCTGCTCTCTGCCCATAGCAACCACAGAGCTCCAGCAGCAACTCCCAGGCCAGCACTGCCAATGCTGGCTAGGGAGTATTGGAACAGAGTGACTGATGGCATGAAGCCAGCATGTCGATGTCATAGAAGAGGTTTGCCCTGCCTGCAGAAATGTCCCAAAGCAAATAAAACCAGGGGAGAAAGCAGGAAACAAGTGATGGCAGATCAGAGGTGGGTCCTACTGAATTGTAACACCCACCTCTGTAATTACATCACAGGAGAGCGGAGGTTGAGGGAAGTGGTGTCTAAATTTAATATTTTCAAATGGAAATGTTTTTCAAAGTATTACATTATTTTAAAGGTTTATGCAAAAATATTATAGAATTTAAAAGGTTTATCCAAATAAAGGTACATGCCATGTGATTAAATCCCAGCCTTCACAAACCTACTGCAGGGGTGGAGTGGCATGGTCCAAAAAATATTTCATGATGCACCCCTCCCCCCCCATACTAAATTGGTTTAAATATTGCTTACCCTCTTATCCTCTTTATTGCTTTTGTGAATAAAGGATCAAAAGGATATTTAAGTGCTGGTATTTTGTTTACATCATTGCAATTTTGCATTAAGAGGTTAACAACATGCTTACCATAAGACTGAACATGGTAACAGAAAAATGGCAACACGTTAAGATTTATAACAGAGGATACTTGCGAAATCCTGAGCTCTGAGCTTTTCTACAATGAACCATACTGATTTTCCTAAAAAAAATCTTCTTCATTTAACAGATTTGGATGTTAATGACTAATGAGTTGGGAACTTAAATCAGATTTCAGAACACCAAAAACCAATGCCAACTAGCCCAATGCCAACTAATAATTCAGGATATATAGACAAGGGTGCCAAAAAGATAGATTGTCAGCTCTTGTACAACTGTAACTTACATACTCATGGTTGGCAGAGTATGACAAGATAACACGTACTTTTGAGAAAGCCTATGTTTTAGATGAAACACGTTAAGTGTGTTTGACATATTGTTTTACATATTTATTTTATTTTGTTACTACTTTTAATGTTTTTTATTATAAAAGTACATTTTTATTGGACCTGTTCTTGCTGCTGCTGGATTTTTGAGCTACATTCATGGTGGGTATAATATCACCTAAGCGTATTGGATTGAGCAAACCATACTTTGCTCTTAAGCATATGAGTTGGTCTTTTATCTTATTTTAATTGTGTTTCTCACACTTTCTCACAGTGTACACTATTGTCTCTCTCTCTCTCTTTCTCTCTCTCTCTCTATAAATATATATATATATATATATATATCTCAACTGAGAACTACAATCTACACCTGTATCCTTGAGTGGGGATCATACCACTTCACACGCTTTCCTTGGAGCATTATCTACGGCTCCACTACATGTGAGAGCAAATTTTATATTTATATCTACCCCTGCTCCATAGAACTACATACTTCAGCACATACAATTTTTTTAATTGTATTTTCAATGAGGATACCTCCCACTACCATGAATATACGAAGCATTCACCTCGCACTTGATCCTTAGGAAGGGATTTTTCTGCCTAGGTGCATAAGTCGGAGTTGTATTGAAGCTCCTAAAAAGTGTGAGTGCACATTTTTTTATTTGACTTATATCATTTCTAGTTTTAAATACTACATTATTGTGTTCCTTTGTTTTTTCTTTCTTTCATTACATATACCCTAACAAGGACTATTTGGGCGCTGCTTTTCTATCCAGAGTATGACAAGAGTTGTATTTTTTTTGACAATCTACCTTTTGAGTCTGCTAAGCAGCTATTTGATATACAGTAAAACCATCATTAAATCCTAAACAGTAGAAGTAAAATGAGAACCCAATATGTTGAAACAATGCCAGTTTGTTTTTCAGTGTGAGAAAAAAAACTGCAGGAGTTTCTAACCTGAATGTAGGATAATCAAAACCGTGCCTAATTACTTAACTGTACATTAGTCTGTGATTACAATTTTTTGTTTTAAGTTACAGCTAGAAAACAATTCCTAGTTATTTTCGTCTTAATTTAGCTTGTTGTTGTTAACGCTACTTGAGGACAGAAAGATCCCTGCTGTTTGGAACCTGATTTATTTTTAACCAGTAGAAGTTCTTTAAAATTCATGCGGAAAGTGAAGGAATTCAGAACATGGAGCCTCTATAAATGGCTTGGTGATGTTTTTTGCACTTCATCCTACTACAGCAAAATATTTGCATCATTGACATATTCAGGGCTAATGCATTGTGAACGCAGTTTAGCTAATTCCTCACATTTTTGCCCCCAAGAAAACATCCTACAGAAAAAAAAAATCTGCCCTATTAAGTACTGTGATATGCCACCTCTCATCATGTAACATAATAATCAGCCAAAGACTCTATAGATGGCTCTATTTACACACAGAAAAACAAAAGAGATAGAAGTCAGCCATGTAAAACTTGATCATCTAGGGCTGCAATCCCGCAAGAATGTTCTCTAATTAACATGTAATCAAACAATTAACATTGTCTTTCACTGAGCAATATGCTACGTATTATGCAGAAAACCCATAAAGTCTGTGACCCTAAAAATCTGAAGTCTGACATTCCCCTATTGTATTTTACAGGACAAGTACTAATACAGTTTGATGGCTACACAATAAAACAAGATTGAAATCAGACTTAGGGTTATGTTTTATATGGCTTATTGATCACCAATACATTTTAATCCTTCTTACTACTGCAGGGAGAAGGGGAGTGTGGGGGGGAGAGGGGGGGGAGAAGCAAACATTGTATATTGCTTTTCTATCGGATGGCTCAATGTAAAATAACATATAAAATATATTAATACAACATAATGTAATATCAATAACATGGTATAGAACACATTTTCACTTGGTGACATCGCATACAATAGTTTTGTGATGGCTCATTCTGCAGCATGATATACATATGTTGACACTCTATCACTGATAATATAGAGTAGCAGGAATACTATTTCTACTGTATACCTATTGAACTAAATGCTCACGTAAAATCTAGATATATCTAATGTTACCAGCAAACATGACCAATGATCATCTGTTTGAGGTGAAGAAGGATTTACCAGTAACTGGTTTTGCCTGAGGTGATTTATACAAAATAAGCTGCGTGGGACAGTGATATAGAGGGTTAGTCTGGGAAGAAAAGCTTACAGTAAATGTGGCACATGGCACATGGAGCAACAAGCTGTCTGCTCAGTAGTGGAAATCACACAGAAATTATGAGAATAATCAGGTTATCATAACAAACACATATACATGCTACCTAGAGCATTTCCTTTAAACCTCATTCATGTTGCAAAACAGACTGCCAGGCTGTCTGAGCATCATGGGGAATGTATATAGATATATATATATATAGATGTATATAGATTTACAGAGATGGCCAACTGTAGATCTCCAGTCATTGTGTGCAAAGCATCCAATGAGTGGTAGTTCTGCAACTCCTGGGGATTTATCTTTTGATCTTTGAGTTCTACAGAAGTCAACATTGCTGTCCAAGGTTCTAAAATCTAAGACCCTAGAGATGGACAGGTGTATGGACATTCTTAGCTGCTGTTCGACGTTCTGAAATCTGAGACACTAGAGATGGACAGGTGTATGAACATTCTTAGCTGCTGTCCAATGTTTTGAAATGTGAGACACTAGAGCTAGACAGGTTTGTGGTCCTTCTAAGCTGCTCTCTAAGGTTCTAAAATCACAGACACTATATAGCTGGACAGGCCTGTGGCCATTGCTGGCTACAATGATCTGAAATCACAGACACTATATAGCTGGACAGGTCTATGGTCATTGCTAGCTGCAATGATCTGAAATCACAGACACTATATAGCTGGACAGGTCTATGGTCATTGCTGGCTGCAATGATCTGAAATCACAGACACTATATAGCTGGACAGGTCTGTGTCCATTGCTAGCTGCAATGATCTAAATTAACGGACACTATATAGCTGGACAGGTCTGTGTCCATTGCTAGCTGCAATGATCTGAAATCACAGATCTGAAATCACAGACACTATATAGCTGGACAGGTCTGTGGTCATTGGTAGCTGCAATGATCTGAAATCACAGACACTACATAGCTGGACAGGTCTGTGGTCATTGACAGAAACAATCCTCGAAAATCACAGATACTATGTAGCTGGACAGGGCTATGGTCATTTCTAGCTGCTGTCCATGGTACTGAAAACAGATCCATTATACAGCTTAATGAGCTTCTGTCCATGGTGCTGAAACTGAGTCCAAGTCACTGGAAAGCATCACCATTCTAAGCACTAATAAACATGCTCTCCCGCTTTAGAGATCACTTGGCTGTTTTCATTATTGTGTAAGTGTGTTGTCAGGCATGATTGAATCTGAAAAGAGGATGATTTGTCATCACTACACTAGAAGTGATTGTATTGCGGTAGCGGAGGATATCTGTGAGCATCAGGGTTTTTAATAATTAATCATTGCGATAAGAAGAAGGGGGGCTGCTGGGGGTGTTGCTCGCCCTCTTCTGCTCTAGCACAGCCATGCTACAATGTAACTGAATAACAGGTGAACTTCTGCTCAGGAACTCTTTCAGAGGGGGGAGGGGGGAGAGAGCTACATCCCAGGGCAGAGAATAACTCAAAACTGCTCAGCGAGGTGTCTGGATACATTGTTATTTATTTTATATATAAGTCAAAATGAACATCGGTGCATCATTCTACCATAGATATACAAAGACACCAATAAATCATGGTTAATATTATTATTATCATACAGATTAGCAGGAGATAATTCAATTAAGGAAGAGGATTGTGCGATTAACCATGACAACAATGTGCTTCTTGCTTTTTAATCTGATTTAACCCAATTGCATTGTATGGTTGTACCCAGGCACATTTAGGGAGGGGTTAAAGTGAAAGGAGTACTTACCTGATTTGCAGTATACCGACTTACAGACAGAGCCAGGAACTGTACCTGCACTTAAAGGGACGTTAGCATATACCTTCCTAGAGGTTGCAAATCCCATCAAAATGAAAATATAAAGGATATGGCCAGTCGATAAGCTTCTTCGCATATTTCCTGACAATGTTATCTTCTCCAAAGATGAAGAGAGACCTGTTCACCGTGAAACAGTTCTGTCTGACCGGGATAGGGTTGTATAAAGCCATAGTCCTTGCCCTTTGAGCTTTGGACTGTTTGAAGGCTGCTTGGGTTCCCACCGGAGCAGCTGGAGAGCCTTGAAGGGTCTTGCTCCTTTCTGATCCCCCATCTCCAGAACTCAGTCTGCCAGCCACTACCTCTCCGAACCGAGCCATCCTGCAAGTTAGGAGACACACAGGCAAATTAAGCTCGATCCAAACAGAGCAATAAAACTAATGGGAATTAACTGATGAGATGAGGGAGGGGGGACCTACTGAACGATCATTCAACAACCACCACTCACTGTATTCTAACGAATGTGAGATACAATAGTTATATGTTATTGTATCAGCACTGAAATATAGATTTCAAACGTTCTAACGCAAACATCAACAGCACAACTAATATCTTGATCTGCAACAAATAGCCAAGCCATTTAATTAAGTTAAAAAAAATCTGCAGACAAAAAAAAAAATTCTCACATAATATTGCACCCAGAAGAAACACTTACATGAGAATCCTATACTGTTATTTAACTTGACAAGCACAAGGGGTGAATAAATATACCAAATATGTAATGGATGTAAATGATATTAATAACAATAATAATAATATTACTAGTTTCAGCTATCAAGCTATGGAAAATGAGATCAACATACATAAACAGAATAAAGGACAGGGAAGGGGTGCAGCCTTGAAGGGAACAGGTAGCAAATGCTGCAGCAGACTGTTCTTAGTTGTGTATAGATTAACTTCCTGACAATAGCATGCTGAGACCCACAGATATATCCAGGAATCCAGCGATGCAACACACTCAATACGAGATAACAAAAAAAAAAAAAAAGCAAAACAAACGATCACAAAGCACTGACTGCAAAGGATTCACAAAACGAGACGCTAAATAGCCTTTGCAGCCTTGGGTGGAGGAATGAGACATAATTAAATAGGTTTAAAATGGACAAAGCAGCCAGTGATGCCCAGTTCCAGCAATAAAATCATACCCAACATTTAAGACAAAAAAATAAATAAAAGAAAGGAATTCTACAAGTCTACTAAAATAGCTACAAATGTATTACAAACAGAAAATATAAATCGACATACATAGTGCAAGCTCGTCTCTACTTGCTCCTTGCCTTGCAGATCTGCTTGTGTGTGTGTTGCAGGCAGCATTAACATGTAGATGTCCTGATACCAAAATGAGCCTCACACATATTTTTCTCATGGAGACAACTACAGAACATGCACACACCCCACCCCCTTCTCTTTCATCCTAATTGAAGGTGCTTCTCGCAGACTGTTGCTTTCTAACAGAATCACCTCCCCCCTTTGCTCTTTATTTTACATTCTTTGTTTAAACATTAGTTCCATCCACCCATTATTAGGGTCCCACCAGGTCTCTCCTGGTGAAGAATCTGACAGGTCACAGCGAGAGAGAGTAAGATTCATGCTGTGCAAATCTGTACGTATTAATAAGCACAGATCATTAGCATCTGCAAGATGTTATGACAGACAAAGCAACAACATAACCAAACATGTAAAAAGCCAAATGGTAAGGATTCTCAAGGGGCAACTAGCCTGAAAGTTTTGAATCTGCTTCTCTAAATTCTGCAGGTGTGTACAGAGCCTTTAGAATAAAAGAGACGTGGATGGTCAGCTAGGCAATGGTGTGAGGGCATCTATTCTATCCTCTCTCTCCCTTTCTCCTTCTCCTCTCCCTTACCCACCCTCTCTCTCCTCTCTCTCTCCCCCTCTCTCTCTCTCTCTCCTCTCTTACTCTCCATACATGTGCAGTAGATCATGCATTAGAGGCATGTATATAACATTATGCTGTGAAACATTCTGAAGTGGCCAAGTGACACATGTACCTTTGTCTATTAAGTTGGAAAAGAACCAAGCATTACATCATTTAAATGACCTCAGTGACTAAATGATGTAATCAATCTCCCTGACGTTTTCTGAAACCCATCCAGCTTTCCTTAAAATATCTTCTTCCCTTATAATGATAATTGGGCACCAAAGTACATGGATTCATTTGAAAGATTACTAAAATGATTAAAGAAAAAAAAAAATAAACATCCTTTTTTTTTTTTTTTTGCATGATACCAGATGCATGTGTTCGTGTAGGAAAATATAATGTAAAGACCTACTGCACCATATCATCCAGACCATTTCATCTCATGGTTAAGAGGAAGTATGCAGCATTATGTTTCAAATTAGTTGCTGTGCAACATTGTATTAAGTGATACAGATTGTTCCATGTGGATGTATGTTTTTCATGTCCATGTATTTTCCTTTCACTAGTTGCATGAGGAATTACTGAGTATTCACACGTGTGATGTTCATACATGGGTGCAGGGGATCAGTACTTCTCCTCCACAATACTATGGAAGGACCAGGTTGGCTTCACATTTCCACCATTTCCTACTTGAAAGGGGCAGTATTGGCAAAAAGTGATAGCTAAGTAAATTTCGACAAAAAAAAGCAGATGTTCTGGATTGACTGTCATATTTGGATACAGTGGGAGCAGGATAGCAAGTGTTCTATAAAAAGTGGTCTAAAGTACTAAATGTAGGGGGTAATCACCATGTAAACCAGTGGAATCAACAACTGAATTCTACCGGTGACCAGTCTGGTGTTAGATTTTTGTGCCACATTTTCAGAACAGAACTTTTTGATAAATCTCCCCCTATCTATATTTTTTACTTGATAACCTTGATAAAGATAATCCAGTAGGGTTTGGCAAAATGTAAATCTCAGATGGTTGTTCGATTACAACTATAATGATGCTTTACCAGCCATTCAAGATGGCAAAGCAACACGACACTTATATTAATACATCTGAGGATGTACCTTTTGTATATCCCTGTATCCCAACAATCTTTCCTTTAAGGATCTCACTTCTTAAGATTAATATTTAGTGATTGCAGCCACTGATGATAAAAAAAATAGGTTTCTCTTTTGCTGGCATTAGGTATTTAGAGACAGATATATGCCACTGGGAAACTGTGACATCTGCTCCTTAAAGGAACACTATAGTGTCAGGAATACAATTTATGTGGCCGCCCCTCTTGCCTCCCTTTAAAAGGGCATAAAACATACCTTTTTTCCATGTGGCTGGTTCCGCCCCCGTTGCGCCTCCTTGACTGATATGATCAAAATGGACAATCTCAGCCAATCCAATTCTTCCGAATAGGAAAGCATTGGAGGTTATTGTGCATGCACTGAAACACGCATTGCTTTACCAATCAGCTCTCCATCCATGGACAGCATGGACATACTGAATGTCAGTGCTGCACATCTAGCCAGTAATGTCAACACTGCCTTTTCTATGAAATGGCAGTGTTTACATAAAAAAGCCTGCACAGAGATACTATACTCACCAGAACACCTACAAGCTGTAGTTGTTCTGGTGACTATAGTGTCCTTTTAAAGATTTTTTAATTCATTAATTAAAGAGCTGAAATGGGCAGTGGTTTGCAACCCATTAAAATTCCAAGTATTCTGGTCATTTCATACATTACAGTGAAAGAACAGATGTTGGGCTTCAAGATAAACGCATTTAACCCCTTAAGGACACATGACATGTGTGACATGTCAGGATTCCCTTTTATTCCAGAAGTTTGGTCCTTAAGGGGTTAAAGAACCAGTAAAGCCTCCTTATATAGAAGTATTGGATTGACCATCGGTGAAAGAGCCGGATTACATTACAGGAGATAGAATAGCTGGCAACATTGAGGAAGTGTGGGAGAAAAAGTGTGCAAAAAAAGTTTTTTACGGAAATGAAGGGGACCTAAAACTAATCTGCAACTTGCAATACTGTAGCATTTGTACAGGTTTGTATACTCAATGCTAGTGTTTCTTTTAGATCTGCAAAATTTAGTTACAAAGTCTGAAAATAAACCACCTCCCAATTGGTTTGTTGCATGGAACTTTGTTTTTTTGCATTATGAGCATAGCAAAATTAACCCTGCATTTTTAAATGCTAAACATGTTGTTTAACGGAAATTGCATTCTGCCATTTAATATTTAATGACATCACTTGTTGCAGCTTGACAAGACCAAAAGGCACTGAGGTTGACACAACAATATAGTTGTAAAATAAAATCCACTTGAGGTTTGGAGATCCATTTAGTAATCAGTAAGTGCTGTTGTAATATATATTCCAACTTCCGCAATGAAGTCCAGGAAATCCCACAGAAGTTTTCTTTAACCCCTTAAGGACCAAACTTCTGGAATAAAAGGGAATCATGACATGTCACACATGTCATGTCCTTAAGGGGTTAAAAGGACACTCCAGGCACCCAGACCACTGCTGCCCATTGGAGTGGTCTGGGTGCCAACTCCCACTACCCTTAACCCTGCAACTGTAATTATTGCAGTTTTTTATAAACTCCAATAATTACCTTGCAGGGTTAACTCCTCCTCTAGTGGCTGTCTACTAGACAGCCACTAGAGGGCACATCCGGAATTATAGCACAGATTTTCTGTGCTATAGCGTCGCTGGATGTCCTCACGCTATGTGAGGACCTCCAGCGTCGCTAAAATCCCCATAGGAAAGCATTGAAATCATTTTCAATGCTTTCCTATGGGGAGGTCTAATGCGCGTGTGCGGCATTGCAGCGCATGCCATTAGGTCTCCCCCTCCGGCGGGCATACTCTGCGCGGGCTGGGGCCGCAACACATGGCGGCGGGCACCTGGTCACAGGGGTTGCAGGGCTGCGACCCCTGTGACTGCGGTATGTACGCCAGTGCATGCAGATACACATACACTTAAAGGACCACTACAGACACCCAGATCACATCAGCTCAATGAAGGGGTCTGGGTGCCAGGTCCCTCTAGTTTTAACCCTGCAGCTGAAAACATAGCAGTTTCAGAGAAACTGCTATGTTTCACTGAGGGTTAATCCAGCCTATAGTGTCTTTCTCATTGACAGCCGCTAGAGGAGCTTCCGCGATTCTCATTGTGAAAATCACAGTGAGAAGATGCTGAACGTCCATAGGAAAGCATTGAGTAATGCTTTCCTATGGGCAGTTTGAATGCGCGCGTGGCTCTTGCCACGCATGTGCATTCAGAGCTGAGAGGCGGATCGGGGTGGAGAGATCCCCTGGGCCAAGGGAGTCTGGTGCTGGAGAAAGGAAAGTGCTTAAGACACACACACTCTCATGAACAGACGCAT